CCAACCAACCAACCAACCAACCAACCAACCAACCAACCAACCCAAACAACCAAAAACCAAAATAATTAGATTGAGACTTTCTAATGGAACCCATTTGGCACAGTTAAGATTCAATTTCCTGAACCTCTTTAAGTCTATTTTGGCCAGCTGACGTGCCATGACATATCCCTTGGGTGTGTGGTGAAATGATTGATCATTCTTCTAGACCTTGAGGAACTCTACCATGACTTAACAAAATTATTTTACTTAAAAAAAATTTTTTTACCCAAGCAATAACCAAGCCAGGTGGACCAACCTGTGAACATGTCAGATGGAGGAGCAGCTTCAGGCTCTGCAGTGGGACTGGAGGTTGAAGAGCCACCAGCACCTGATGGTCGAAGGAGATGGAAAGGCCAAGGTCTATGAGGTGATCTGAAATGTATTGCTCAGTGGCTTCTATTAGCACAGGCTGAGTGTGACTGTGATGACATTCTGGGAAGTGACAGCCTTTCACCTGTGCAGATGACACTGGCGTCCTCCAGGTGCCCACAGTTGAGTCCAGTTTGGCCCTTGTGCACACACTGCCCGAGGTGGCTCTCACTGCCCACACACTGCACATCATCCAGCAGGATCTTCCCAGAACCTGCCCCAAAGTGGGCCCCTGTGGGGGCTCCCACGGCCTGGCCACATTGCAGCTGGCGGCACACGACGGTGGCCTCGGCCAGGTCCCAGAGGTCATCACACACGGTCCCCCACGTGTCATGGGTGAGGACCTCCACTCGGCCTGAGCACCTTCCTGTGCCGTTCACCAGCCTCACCTCCATCCAGGTTTCTGGGGAGACACACAAAGGGGAGAGAGACTCTGGGGACCTGCTCTCCATTCTCTGGAGGCTTTTTTTCTCATTCTTTCAAGTTACTAGATAGTCACGCACCCTCATCACAGACGTGTGTAGTCATGCAAGCCTCTTGCTCCACACGATGATGATAATGATGGCGACAACAATGACGATGAGGATGAAGATGGTGATAGTGACAATATTGATGATGAGGACAACAAGTATAATATTACAATGGTCATACTAATATTTCATGAGGTTTTCTCCCTTGCAGGCTCTAAGCAAAGTGCTTTACAAGTTTGGCCTCACCATTCTTTGAGAGTAGCTCAATTACTTTCTTCTTCTTGCCATCGAAGGACAGAACTCTGAAAGTTCAAGTGATGTGCTCAGATTGAATACCGCAACCCTCAAAACCAGCTGGCCACAAGGAACTACATGTGTTTGCGATCAGACCGATAGACACTCACACCCTGTCTTCTTCACTGCTCCCTAGTTGGTTGGTGCTTAGGGAAAAGCCCTTTTCTATGCGAACACATGTGGTAAGTGTGGCAGAATTAGCTTGTGTTGTAGATTTGTTTGAGCAGTTAATGCACTACTAGTTACACCAATGCACCTGTGTCTCTGCTCATCACATTTTGGTATTTCAATAAATGTTGGGGCTTTCATTTTCTCAGAACTTACCTGTGAGGTGTGTATGT